GTGTCCAGTTTCTATGGCCAGGCTGTGGTCACTGAGTCTATCCTCTCTGGACAGCCAGGTCTGTGTCCAGTTTCTATGGCCTGGCTGTGGTCACTGAGTCTGTCCTCTCTGGACAGCCAGGTCTGTGTCCAGTTTCTATGGCCAGGCTGTGTTCACTGAGTCTGTCCTCTCTGGACAGCCAGGTCTGTCTGTGTCAAGTTTCTATGGCCAGGCTGTGGTCAGTGAGCCTAATTTTTCTCACATACTCTGGTAGTGTGTTTTGACTTTTTTGGATCTGGTAGCATGCCAGTTTGTGTTTGTGTTTTTGTGTGCGTCTCTATACCCACACAATCCCACTGATATTTGCTTATTTTAATTTCCATAAGCCAGCCAGTGAGCCATGCTGCCTGCCCTACCCTCAGCTCGCAGTCTTCGTTCACAGCCACATTGCTGGGCTTCAGGTCCTGTGGGGACAGAGAGAAACAAAAGTAGAGGAGAGGAGTTTATTGCCATAAATGTTAGAAGAACTCTTATTCGCGGTGATCTCTTTGGAGAAGTACACAGTACAGCAGATGACACAGTACAGCTGACCAATGTAGACAGTACATTACAACCTGATAAATAATAACAGAACAACGAAGATGTAGTAGTGAAAAAATCCCATGGTAGACCATGCAAAAATGTAATAGTGCACATGTGCTGTTAAGGATGCACAGTGCAGTAGGGTAGAAGCTGCTCGAGTCCAGTGGTCCGTGCTTTAACAGTGTGGTACTGCTGGCCAGAGTGCAGGGGGGAGAACAGTCTGTGGCCGGGATGGTTGGGATCCTGAATGGTGGATTGGGCTTTACTGTGACAGCAGCTGGTGTGAATCTCTCTGATTGATGGTAAATCACATCCTATAATCCTCCGCTTCGTTGCCACAACCCTTTGTAGTGTGTCCTTGTCATGCACGGTAGTATTTCTGTACCACACAGTGACGCCACTAGTGAGGACACTTCCTACGGCGCTGCAGTAAAACGTCATGAGTAGCTGCTTCCTTCTGAGGTACTGCATTTCTGAAGTACTGATGGGCCTTTTTGAGATTCGCTACAGGGTTGCGAGACCAAGCCAAGTCGGTGGAGATCTGCGGACTGAGGAACCTGAAGCAGCTGGAAGTTTCCACTGCTGTGCCCTTGAAGCTGACCGCGGCGTAACTCCCTCTGGGTCTCCTGAAGTCCCCAATGAGCTCTTTTGTCTTGTTGACATTCAGGGGCAGATTGTTGTCAAGACACCATCTTGCAAGATGCTCCACCTCACTCCTGCATGTGGACGCATGGCTGTTGCCGATCAGCCCGATAAATCGGTGGCGTCATCTGCAAACTTAATGATGTGGTTGCTGCTGAAAGGGGCTGTACAGCCACAGGTGAACAAAGAGTCCAGCCTAGGGCTGAGACAGCAGCCCTGAGGAGTTCCAGTCTTTAGGATCACTGCAGAGGAGATATTGTTGCCAATTTTCACCACCTGAGGACTGTCTGTTCGCAAATCCAATATCCAGTTGCAGAAAAGAGTTGCCTAAAGCCCAGATTCCTGAGCTGTGGGACCAGCTTGGTAGGAACAATTGTGTTGAAGGCGGAGCTGTAATCTAGAAACGGCATCCTACCATAGGTGCCCTGCCTGTCTATCTGTTCTAGGGCAATATGTGGTGCTAGAGATATGGCATCTTCCCGGACCTATGTGGACAGCAAGCAAACTGAAGTGGGTCAAGGGAGTGACGGTGCAGTTTATATAGGACAGAACGAGGCTCTCCAGGCACTTCCTGACCACTCTTGTGAGCGCCACTGGGCAGAAAGCGTTCCAACAAGTTACCGTGGTCTTCTTGGGCACAATTGTGGTTTTCTTGGAGCACTCTGGTGCAACTGACAGGAATGGAGAGAGGTTAAAAATGTCTGTATATGCAGGAAACGGCTAACCTGCACCGGTTTTAAGGACACGAGGGGAGATACCATCTGGGCCAGCTGCTTCGTGGGTTTTCACTCTCTCAAAGCCCTGACACACCTCACATTTAGAGAGCTGTAAGACCAAGTCCCCTGGCTCACTGGGAGCCTTGATAGCTGCTTGGTGTTCTGAGCCTCAACGCAGGAGTAAAAGGTGTTCAGATGGATCAGTGGAGCAAATATCGTTCCTCGCCACGTGCGTCTCGAGTCACCCCCAAGCCGTTTCTCTAATCTGTCCTTGTATTGCTGTTTTGCCAGTTTAATAGCTTTCTCCAGGACGTACATTGATTTTTTTAGACCGCTCTCTGTGCCCTGTTTGGAAGGCAGCAGACCACGGTTTGAGTTTGCAGCAAATGTCTTTGTTCATTCAGGGCTTCTGATCGGGATATATCCGGATCTTCCTGGTAGGAACAGTTCTGTCCACACGGTAGCTGACGTAGGACGTGACCACCTCTGTACACTCATTTAGATCAGTGGAAGAATCTTTGAATACACACCAATCCGTCATTTCAAAACAGGCTGCGATTTCCTACTCAGCAGTGTCCAACCGGCGCTGCACAGTCTTTCCTGCAGGTGGCGCTCTTTAGCTCCTGCTTGCAAAAGAGGAAGAAGGAGCACGGAGGCGTGGTCAGACGTACTGAAATGCACGCGTGCAATGGGGCAGTATGCTAATCTAGCGGTGGTGTAACAGTGATCCAACGTGTTGTTGCCTCTCGTGGCAGCAGAGACGTGTTGAAAGTACGTTAGTTACTGCACTGAGCGCACCTCCAGAGGCACAGAGCAACAGAAATGGGCGATAAGGCTCCCAGTGCAAGAGATGCTGGATTTTTCACAGCGTATTTTGTGCACATTGGTGGAACCTGGTGGGTGGTGCCTTGAAAATCTCTCCCTCACCGTTAGCAAAACCAAAGAGCTGGTTGTCGATTTTAGAAAGCAGAGTGTGGACCAAAGCCCTGTTCACATCAATGGGGAGACTGCATAGAGGGTCAGCAGCTTCAAACTCCTGGGTACCTTCGTTCCTAATGATTTAAGGTGGTCCCCGCATGTAACTGGAGCTGCAGAAAATGCACAGCAGTGCCTTTACTTCCTCAGTTGGAAAAAAACGGTCTATCTTCAATTATCGCTCATGCATGGGATTACAGAGTGGTTTGGCAGCAGCTCGTTGTCTGACTGGAAGGCATTACAGGGGGTGATCAGGTCAGCCCAGTCCATCACTGGAGTGCAGCTCCCCTCTACTGTGGACATTTTTACACCTTGCTGTCTCGGGAAGGCTGGGTGTATTGTTAAGGATTCCAATCATCAGAAATCAAATTTCTCACTTTTCTCTCCCCTGCCTTCTGGCAAGCAATATAGGAGCATAAAGGCACGTAGGTTCCGGTTTCAGAGACAGTTTCTCCCCACAAGATGTCAGATTACAGAACTCTACCCAAACCACTGGCTCACACTTTTCTTTTCTTCTCACTCTGTTTTTTTTAAAGTTGTATGTTATTTATGTTGTTGTTGCTGCTGGTGTTCTGTGTTTCTGTTTTCTTAATGTCTTTGTACTGGAGCGTACATGCAAATAAGCGTTTCATGGCAGCCAGCAGCCATATCACCCTGCAACTCCCACCTGGCAGCCCACTGAAGCTCAGCAGGTGTGAGCCTGGTCGGTACCTGGATGGGAGACTCCTGGGAAAGCTGAGGTAGCTGCTGGACGAAGTGCTAGTGGGGCCAGCAGGGGGCGCTCACCCTGCAGTTTATGTGGATCTTAATGCCCCAGTATAGTGATGGGGACACTATAGTGTAAAAGGCGCCATCCTTCGGATGAGACGTAAAACCGAGGTCCTGACTCCCCGTGGTCATTAAAAATCCCAGGGAGTCTCTCAAAAAGAGTAGGGGTGTCACCCTGGTGTCCTGGCCAAATTTCCCATTGGCCCTTACCAATCATGGCCTCCTAATAATCCCCATCTGTGAACTGGCTTCATCACTCTGTTCTCCACCCCACTGAGAGCTGACGTGGGGTGAGTGTACTGGTGCACTATGGCTGCTGTCGCATCATCCAGGTGGATGCTGCACATTGGTGGTGGAGGGGATCCCCATCACCAGTAAAGCGCTTTGAGTGGGGAGTACAGAAAAGCGCTATATAAGTGTGAGCATATATTATTACTATTACTTGTGCACATGACACAAACTGAACAGAGCACACTCACAAGTGGCGCCCTCTAGTGGCCCTCCTGGTCATTCCAGTCACTGCACGGGGCACACATTCGGCAAGAACTGGAAGCAGCGGTTCATTAGCAAAACAAAAAATAACGTCTGCCAGTCTTGCAGGAGCTTCCCACTGACCCCAGGCAGGGCGAACCTGACCGATTCACTCGAGGAACTCCGCCTGGGTGGCGCGCAGACATGTTAGAGCTCGTCTTCAGACGGCACAGCGACAGCAACTGACCCCAGCGAAAACAAAAGGACTCCAGAGGAGGATGGAGGGCAAGAGGATAACTTACCCTGTGAATAAGGCCGGCTGAGTGGATATACTGAGAGAGAGAAGGTTGGAAACGAGTTATTTATAATGTAGCAGTACTTTGTAGTACAGTGTGGTCCTCATGATGGACTGCAGTGCAGTTATTTATAATGCAGGACAGTGAAGCTTAAAGGGCAACGTATAGTATAGTATACGGCATTCTGTGGTTTACAATGTGGTACAGCACTCTAGTCCAGTTGCACACATTTCTAGATGCAGTTTGGGTATAATTATGAATAAAAGC